ACTAGTTGGAACATTGACGTATTTTTGTCAATCACACAAAATTGTTACAAAAATTGCTTGGTTATATTTTTCTATATTTATATTAAATGAAAAATACAAAAGTTATCTCATATTTACACTTTTCAAATAAAGATGTCACCGTTAAGCACATTTCTAAATGGAAATAATTTCTAGCTTTATACATTTAACTTGCACTATCTTACTGATAATGACTGTACTCAAAATCTTTGAATAAGAATATTTATGAGAAAAAACAGTTTGAAAGTAGAAATTCAAGTCTGAAGTAGGCTTACTTACAACAGTAGATAATCGGCTTAACTAAGTTGATAGAATCGTTTATACAAGTTTACGACCCATAATAATCAAGATTCAAGTTTTCATAAAAAATATGACCTGGTGTAAAATTTTGGAAGATATAAAACAATAGTTATCACATAGGCATTGGTCAGAACATGTCATCATGACCCAAGTCAGGAATATACTGTAAACCACGATCTTTCAGAGCTTTGTTCATTAGCCTATCCTTGTCTTGCTTCAGTTCTTGTTCTCTTCTTTGAGCATCAAGAATATCGTCAACTGAAACTTCAGACAGAGGCAAATTCTTTTCCTTTTCCTTATCCTAAAGTAAAAGAATCAAAATGGTTAGTGGTAAATTTATTTCTGGGGGAAAAAAATCTCTTTACAGCTGAGCCTTCACTTACTATTTCTCCCAAGAGAACTACATTTTCTCCCCTGACAATAAAGACTCCTCGAGGAATATCACCATATTCCTTACCAACGTGGATCCTCTCGATGGTTCGATGGAGAACTAGATTTGCAAACTGGTCAACACTTCTAAGATAGCCAATCAAAGTTCTTCCATCTCTCAGCAGAACCATAAGTTTTTCTATATCAAATCATGCTATTTTATTTAGTAAAATCAACAATAAAACACTTGTTATTTAGGAACGTCATGTTTTAGTATTTCATAAGCAAGTGCAGAAAAGACAATGCAAAGAATCATAAAAATTATACGTTTAAAATGAGCAATCAAAAACAATGTTAAAATTGTAATTCTCCACTCTGTTGGACTCCAGACAAGCTTTATAACCTCAAAATCACAGAGTATGTCAAATTGGAGCAACATACTTATTAAAAATTAATAGTTTTGAAAAAATACTAACGTACTGTCAAGTTCCTCAAGAAGCGAGGCAGTCCCAGGAACCGCATTCATTTTTTTTTTTTTTTTTTTTTTTTTTTTCAGTCATACAATAATAACATATTAAAGTCACGGGGACAGTATACCGGTATACGGGACTCCTCACCACACACCACCAGAGTGTGTGTATGAAGTGCCCAAAAGTTACTGATTAGCTCCGCCATTTCTGGGACTGACTGAGAAAATATATACCTAGTAGAAAAAAAAAAAAATTTTTTTATGTATATATATATATATACATATACCATTACACCACACCATGCAGACATTGCAGACAGCCGATATGACCCGATTAGAAAAAGTTTACGGCCCGCCGGAGACTACCATACGGGCCGTAGACGGTACGCCGGACATAATACTCCTGGCCCGTGTAACGCGTGTGATCAGGTACGTGTACGGACAGTACACGGCACCCGTCACTCATGGCTCCCGTGTACTGCCCGTACCCTGACCGTAAGCGGTTCGTACAGTATATATAGCTATGAAGGTGAGCAAAAATAAGCGGTTAAATTTATGCTAAAGACTAAGTATGTCTTGCAAATAAAAGACACGACCAAGGGGCCGTCCATTAATTACGCAAACACCTTGGGGGGGGGGGAGTATGTTACTTGTTTATTATAGATGACGTATGGGGGGGGGGCATTCGAATTATTTTACGTAATCATCAGACGTTCGACATAAATGATTTTGTCTTTCCCGCGATTCATATTTCTAATACAAGGTATCATCGTAAGATCAATTGACACCCGGCAAGTATTCGTTCTACACAGTAAAAAAGCTTTACGAGCGAATTGTAAAAATTTACTAAATGAAATAATCTAAAAGTACAATTTTTTTTGCAAAATTACAAAAATTTTCGTAGTTGTACAAAATTTTTGTAATTTCACTAGATTTTATGTTGGACAGAACTGCGACCCATATTAAATGTAGTAAATATACAAGTCAGATTGTAGTCCATTTTACAACTTCCATAGTAATTTTAATACTGCGTAATAGTAAGGGTGAGATTACATGGAGTCTGGCAGTCTGCAGACTGGCAGAATCGCGCTAAGTTTAAATTATGTTTAAATTATAACATCTCAGAATAATTTAGTAAAATAAAGGAAAAATTGTAATTATTGTCAGAAAAGAATAAAGGCTTAGTTACAATCAACTTCAATTACAATAAAACGTGTAAAATATTATTTTATAACTTTTTTTATAGATTTATGTTAACATCGCACAGTCGGTCAGTAGGGTCACTGATGTAACCTGGTATGTTTAACAATATGTAACTGTGACAAAACGTTTTTCGTCGCCTTTTTTTTCATAAATATCAGTTAATACAGAAATGCAAATGTATTACGATAATTATTTCTTTGCTTACGTAACAGGTTTTAAATATTAGTATTGAAACATATTTTAAACTTAGTGCGATTCTGCCAGTCTGCAGACTGCCAGACTCCATGTAATCTCACCCTAAGTTTACAATCTTTTTGTAAAATGAGCTAATGGATACGTAAATGGATTTACGAATAAGATACACTATACAGTCGATACATAATACATAATATATATTTACGGAAATATAGTACATACAAGTGGAGTATCAAGCTCACTTGTATGTACCATAATTGCATGGCAAACGATTACATTATTACGCGTGGCGAACGCGCAAGGTCACGTAGCCCCTTTTTTGGTTCCTCATCGAGACTTATTTCGTAATATTTTCATCACACATTTCTGGATCGTGTTATTGACTAGTTCTCACAATTTATTTTATTTTTTTTATCTTCTTCTATTACGATTCGAACAACTACTATACCGATTAACTCGTTTCTTTTCTGAAAACAAAACAAATGCGAGTAAAAAAGAAAAATAGTACAATTAAATAAAAGGTGTGCATGGTCACTTTGATCAACAATCATTAACCGAGCGCGTATATGTTTTTTTACTTTACCAATACTAAAATATAATTTTAAAATTTTTAACGGGAATCAATGGGGATGAAAAATCCTGCAAATAAAAGAAATAAAATATTTGTGTTGTCCCCGAAAATGCNAATAGAAAGATGGGAATTCAAAGAATATAATTCAATTTTATTAACCTCGGTTGGGTTATTTATAATTTTAACATTGAGGCCACTGGAGCCACCTTAAGAGTATAGATGTTATGCACAGACTGTGCCATTGCGGCAGGTCGATATGTTTATAGTATAGTGTAGTATAGTGTATCTATGAGTCCGTTATACAGAGAGCAACAAGTTTAAATACTGTCAAAGTCAGCAATTGACGTGACCGGCTTACGGTATGAAGTAACCAAGGGTGTTTTCTAGTAACGCTCTCCGACAATTTACCGACAACTTAATTATGTCCCGATTAGAAAAAGTCTACGGCCCGCCGGAGACTACATACGGGCCGTAGACGGTACGCCGGACATAATACTCCTGGCCCGTGTAACGCGTGTGATCAGGTACGTGTACGGACAGTACACGGTACCCGTCACTCATGGCTCCCGTGTACTGCCCGTACCCTGACCGTAAGCGGTCCGTACAGTATACATAGCTATGAAGGTGAGCAAAAATAAGCGGTTAAATTTATGCTAAACACTATGTCTTGCAAATAAGGCACGACCAATCTACAAGATACCAGAGCATAAAGTGTTATTTAAATAATAGAATTCAATTTTAATATCTTTCCGTTATCATATGTAAGTGAGTATTTGTATCAATATAACTGAATAAAAACTAACAAACGCTTTTTTATTCATTTTAAAACGTTTTTAGATATTAAGTGTCTCCATAACAATACTATAGGTAAAATTAGTCATTAAAAAAAGTGTATTTTTAGAAAATCTACAATGGATGACAGAATAAATAAACGTATGAGCATTTATTACACATGAGATGTGTTAGAAAAAGAAATAAAGAAACAGGTAATGATAATGAAAATAGTGAAACGGTTTTAACTAATAAAATTCATGTGATGAAGGATAATATTAAAAGTAATTTAGAAGATAAACAAACTATTGAAAATGAACAAAGTGACTGAAACAATGAACAAAATGAATAAATAATCATTGATTATTTATTAAAAAAATTTTAATTAATTGACAATACTTTACTATTATCACACAAAACATTATTGTGGGTAACACTCGTGGGCCGTACACGCCGCGTGGATTAATTTCAAATCGGGGAATTATATGGGAGATAGAGATGCTTTGTATCGTGCACGTGTGTTACAGTCGACATAGTAGGGATCACATTTACCCGATGTGGAACATCAGTAACACAGGTTTCTGTTACAGGCGTTCGTCGAAACGACAGAACCTGTGTTACCGACATAGTAGTCACACATTTGCATGGTTTGGGGCCGACTTATCCGTATAGCGAGTGGTCACTCTTACCAGTTTTGGGAATCCTTTTAATTCGTAGAGATCCAAAANAATCGGGGAATTATATGGGAGATAGAGATGCTTTGTATCGTGCACGTGTGTTACAGTCGACATAGTAGGGATCACATTTACCCGATGTGGAACATCAGTAACACAGGTTTCTGTTACAGGCGTTCGTCGAAACGACAGAACCTGTGTTACCGACATAGTAGTCACACATTTGCATGGTTTGGGGCCGACTTATCCGTATAGCGAGTGGTCACTCTTACCAGTTTTGGGAATCCTTTTAATTCGTAGAGATCCAAAACAATTCGTCATATTTCATTCTGGTCAAGAGTAATGTAGTAAATTTAGTAGTCCCATATAGTTTGATTTATAAACCAGCCGCAACTTCAACCAATTAAGGTATGTTATTAATTTGGTGCCCGAAAGTGTCATTTATGGCAAGATTATAATATACCTGTGGCCCGAAAATTAACCTCTTTTGAAAAAAATTCACTAGGAGCACTTACTAGGCTAATATGCGCTATAGTAGATGGTCTATTGGAGCCGCTACAATAGACTTCCATACTCCCACTCCGTTTACAATCAGCACTATTAGTGGGTGGTTATTCTAGAGAAATCTCGTAGCTCTGAGACCCTACGGAAGTTTTTTGTTTCGGGTGACGAAGAAAGGCACAACTCAGATTTCACCTTTTAAAATTACGTAGAGAAATCTGACTTAAGCTTTTTTTCGTCTAGACCGTTAAATATAGCTTAAGTTAATCGGAGGACGAAAAAAGCACAACTCAGATTTCTTTAACGTAATCTTAAGCGGCGCAATCTGAGTTGTGCTTTTATTTGTCAATTACAATAAAAAACGTCCGTAGGGTTTCTGAGCCAAGAGTTTTCTCCAGAATGACCACCCGCTAGATGACGCTGACCGTAAACTTCTGTCTTTTTCACACTTATTTATGATACAATACACACGATGGCTTCATATGATCAGCTTTTCTTCGGCAGCCCGCAGCCAGCGTTTTTTAAGGTGATATGACCATATGGTGCTGGTTTTTTGTTATTGTGCAAATGATTGTTTTAATCTCTTAAATTGTAAATAAAGAATTGCAGTTCCCTTTCACGGCTTTGTCGCTTATGTGTTGCGACTTGACACATACAAAATGTGTATTTAATGCGTGTGCTCCACATTTTACAATAAAATATGGTATTAAGTATATCGGTTACCTAAGGATTATTATATTTTCCGAGTAAAATTTTATAACACCATTGCAGTCCCGTCCCCCGAAAAATTGTATGTGCATGTATCCTCTTGACAAACCATGTATTATTTACGTACGCATACATAAAATATATATGTACACATACGTATATTCACTCGAGAAATATGTAATAATCATAGTCCTTCATGCTTACGTAATGATCTCACAGTAATATTTTGTTACCTGTACAGAAATGAAATGTGAAAAAAGCCACTTAACGTAATCAGCCAAAAAGAATCTTTCAGAAAGATAATAAATTGAAAAAGAAAATCAAGGAGAAGAAAGTATGGGACAGCTGAATCGTTTCAAAAAGCAAAGGGCGACCCAATTACAAAATATTAGGGATTTTACTTCATAGTAACCACCTATACAAATACTCTTCACATGGGTATAATCAAAGCTATCTTGCATTTTATACTTCACATGGGATTTTCAAAAGTGCATCATTAAAGTTTTTTTACACAAGTATAGTCCGATCATTGAACCTGATCGAACT